TGCTTTGCAGATGCTTGTATGGCCATAAATTGCCCTTATATTAGGCTTTTTATCCCTTTCTTTACAACAGTTAAATGTACATCTTTAATTGAAAGAATATGTTGAACAAAATATTTACTAGAAACAAACTTTTTCAAGTTTAAAACCTTAACTTTTAAATATAATTTTTTTTTAAATTACTTGCATGTTGTCGTGTACTTTAGTTAACAAAATCAGGTTTTAAATGTCTAAAACTGGACAAAAAATCCCAATCATGAACTATGTACATTTTGCAATAACATTATTCTAACTATTCCTTTATTTGGTTTTTCAGGCTGCGTTAGTTTCAGAGAAGCACAACTATGACTCAACTTACTGAAGTTTGTCCTCTCGTTCATTTATGTTTATTAAATAATATTATGTCTGTAGCCTCCTGCGACCCTGCATCCTAACGTTGCAGACATTAGTTTTAGACCTGTTGTTCTTATTCAGGGGGACTAGAGTTAAGGCTTCACTTTTAATTTTATATTAAATATAGGTTTATATTTTAACTCCTAATTGCTCAAAAACAATATTTTTTAATCCAACACAATTAAGTCAGTTCATCTGGACAGTTTTATATTTATTATTATTATTTTTTAGTTGTTTTGTCCTTCATCCAAAAGACTTCATCAGACTATGGAGCCACAACAAACAGTCCCACAAGCAGCACTCACATAGTGGACCAAACAGTTTGCTGGTGATAAGATGGTTTCTGGAGTCCGCCCTCTTCCCCGTCAACGACTCTGAGGCAGCCATAGCCAAAATGGTTTAAAGCATCAAAGGATGTTTGAAGGACTCTTCAGAGGACTCGACGGGGGAGAGGGTGGGCTCCAGAAACCATCACCAGCAAACTGGTTGGCCTGTGTGCTGCTTGTGGGACTGAGTTTGTTGTGGCTCCTTGGTCTGACAAACTCCTTTGGGTGAAGAACAAAACGTTTCAACAACAACAACAAAAAAAGAAAAATAAATGGTCCAGATGATGTGATTTAACGTTGTTGGATTTTTAACCTCCCAAAATGGAACAAGCGGGTGGATGGATTTTTAACCTGGATTATTGAGCAGGAACGTTAAATAATTTTTAATGTTTCAGACGATGGGTTCAGCTAATCCTAACGAGCTTTGGGAAATGAAAAATGCACACAAATTAAAAACTTAAGACTCAAAACTATCGGTGGGGAGGGGGATGGGCGCACACACATATTCCCTTAGTGACACCCCTGCAACGGACATGACAGTTAATACCATCCATAGGAAGTGAACAGTTTGTGTAGAAGATGCTCAGTTCTGTTCATGTTTGGGCTCCTGTTCCCCTCCAGGTGAAACCGGAGTGCGAGGCCTGCCAGGAGACAAAGGCTACCCCGGAGAGAAGGGCGAGAGGGGCCAGCCTGGCGAGTGTGCCGTGGCTCCTAAATCGGCCTTCAGCGTCAAACTGTCCCCGAGCCTGGCCCTCACTGTGGGCGACGCAGTCCGCTTCAACACCGTCCTGATCAACGAGCAGGGCGACTACAACTCAGAAAACGGACGCTTCACCTGCAAGGTCCCTGGAGTTTATTACTTCGCCGTCCACGCCACGGTGTACCGCGCCAGCCTGCAGTTCGACCTGATGAAGAACGGACATGTCGCGGCCTCCTATTTTCAGTTTTACGGCAACTGGCCCAAACCGGCCTCTCTGTCCGGCGGCTCCCTGCTCCACTTGGTCCCCGGGGACCAGGTGTGGGTCCAGATGGCTCTCTCAGAGTACAACGGCTTTTACTCCAGCACCAAAACAGACAGCACCTTTACCGGCTTCCTGGTCTACTCTGACTGGAAGAACTCTGCTGTTTTTGCATGATGTTTAAAATCTAAGCTGCTGTAGAAAATAAACCGCACATGCTTTTATAATTATTTTTATGTTTCCTGGTTGTGACGGTGCAGCTGATGAGGTGTGAGCTCCATGCACCAACCAGGCCTGTTGATTCTGGAGCTGCTCTTTACTTTCAGTCTTTAAACGGCTGTTAAAGAGGATTGAAGCTCGATCCAGGCCGCAGATCCAAACAGCTTCCATCTCTGTTCCATGTTTCCCTTTGACAACTCAATTCTGAAGAAGAAGCAGCTTGAACTAATTATGTTTAGCTCTTGCATGAAGTCCGACTTTGAGGAGGGAGGATCGTCAATCAGAGTAGCATCCATCAAACACTGACACAAAATCTGAATCAAAAGGGAAACAGTTCAGGTTGAGCTCATTTTAGCATCCAGAACAAACCTGCAGCAACTTTAATGACCCGTGCTAAAAGGTTGTGTTTTTTTTTTTCTCTTATTTTTTTTTTATGCCACTGCCAAAAGACAAAAAGTGAAAGGCAGGCAATAGTGTTTTTGCTTGTTAAATCTACAACGGATTACCATTTGCAGTCTACTCAAATCAAGATGGCCGTCACAGCTTATCAGCTTTAGCCAACACAAAAATGGAGAACTCAGGAAAATTAATAGATATAGAGCTAAACTTTGAGGTGGTAGTAGCTGAGAGTCATCCCCAACACATACTCTGAGTAACAAATCCTGGAATAATGTTAGAGTTTTTTTGTCATTTCTCATCATGACTTGATGTTGGTTTAAAACTCTTACATCAGTGGGCAACATGCTTAAATGAATTCCTTTATTTATTTATTTATTTATTCATTTGACATGATGCTTGTCAGAATTTTACTGTGATCCATCATTTCTTCTTGTTGACTCAAGACAGTGGGTCCAAACTGTTGGTTCAGGCGTCTGAAGGTGCAGGAATCTAATCAAACATAGAGGATCGCCGACAGCACATTTTCCTCTTACCTGTTGTAAAATATATGAAGGATACATTCATAATATGATTAAAACATACTTGTAGTATTTTGTGTTCTCAGTGTATATTTGTTTGATGCTTTATTAGTAATATTTACCTTTTAACCAGTAACAATTAGAGTTACAAGGCTCTGCTGCTTTTATTTTGAAGGTCAGCAGCTGAAAAGCCCTCCATAATCAAAGAGCAGGTTTAGCATTTCAGGAGATGTTCTTTTCACAAAACTGTGCATCGATTTGGATCCAGACTTTTGCTTATTGCAACTAAAAGTTTTTTGTTTTTTTTAAACTCATGTGTTCACATGACTTTTGGAACCAGATTTTTATTTTTATTTTGAAGACCTCGGTGACAGTTAACGGAACTACTAAATGTCACAGGGGTGACCAAACCTTTTATAATGTTATTTTTAATTTTTATTACCCTAAATGGTTAATTGTATGTAAATATTTGATTCTATTTGAAGTTTTGTCCCATTATCTCCATCAAAGTTCTTACATCTGGTGCGTTGTCCTGATTTTGGGGTTTTATTTTGTAGGTAAAGTTTATTCCTGCTGTCAATGCATGCTCAGTAATCCAGGTAGATACATCTAGTAAGGTTGAGGCATGTCTTCTGGACGGGTTCTTCTTGTTGAAACATTTCGTCTTTTATCCAAAAGACTTCTTCAGTCCGAGGAGCTGCAACAAACTCAGTCTTATAAATAGCACCTTCTCATAGCGAATCAACCAGATGGCCAAAACTAACCTCAGTCCAGAGAACTGACTCCACCTTGTTAGATTTATTCCTGTTGTTATTTAGTTTTAATTTAGTTTTTAAAGCACATTTTATGTGGTAAATAGCTAATCTTACTATCAAACTAGATGTGTGTAAATGCTGAAGTGAACCGTAAAGTTAAATAAAACAGGAGCCTCAAAAAAGACAACTGTAAACTCAATAAAAATAAAAAAAACAATCTGGTCACTGATAAGATTTAAACTTTTATTCGCTCTTTGATTTTCCATCTAAGGCAGAGCAAATATGAAAAAAAGTTGTAAAATGCGTATTCACACTGTTTATCTCAGTTTCACCAGTTCATCGACTCACACGTTCACCACTGACAGCTGCTTCATCATCGGCCTGCTTTTCACTGCCACACATTAAACTACTTGCCAAAACTAACTTCCTCCTTCTAACTCTTAATAATTGTTCATTTAGAGAGATAGTTCTGAGTTTTTTCCACTCGCACACATTATTACCTCAGGTTGAAGGGAACCGTCAGACCCACAGCCTCAAAATAACGTCGTCCCTCCAGGGTGGAATAAAAAAGATCAATCTTTCTGTGGCGTCAGTCGCTTGTTTCCATTTGTTCACAAACTAAAAATGCTTCAGTAAATGTTTGAATCTGGGCATCGCTCCCTGAAACACAGAGCTGCTGTGTAAAGGTTTTACATAAAGAGTGAAAAGATGAGGACAGGACACGGCTGCTGACAGAAATAATTAAAAACATAAACTGCCACACTTTTATTATTCTGTTTATTTAAAGCGTGCATGGTCATCTTTAGATGGCATCAAATGTCATTTTTAGGCATTTCAGACAGATAGCTTGATTCATTTGTTTAAATATTAAAATGTACAAATCGGGAAACTTTTATTGTTTTGAGGATAAATAAACCAAAGATTAAAGACTGCCTCTTCTGCTACACTTGTATTCTGAAAACTTAGAAACAAAACAAAAGTAACATTAACCCAAATTTTGTGGCGTTATGCACAATCTGATGAGTTACTGCGATATCACCCCTGACCTGGTTTGGTTTTATGTGGTTTAATCATTTTGATGTGGTTCGAGGTTGATTAGTTTTGACAAATGGCTTAAATTAGATTGACTCTAAAACTTAATGTGTTGTAGATGGACAGCTAAAGATCACTTTTTTAATGGTTTGTGGAATAACGTCCAGTTCTTCATGAGATATTTTGCTAACAGACCGGGTTGACTCAAACAGTTAATGCCACAGTTTTAAGCAAAAATGTGTAGCGCTCAAAACATGTGTTGTGGATGAGTTTCAGCTACTACCACCCAAACTTTTAGCTCAACATCTGTATAACGGTCTGAGTTAGAGCCATTAGTTTTTGATGTCAAGTGTTGTGGCGGCCATCTTGAGTTGGATTGTTTCCAAAACTTCATCAGTTGTGGATCTAAATAAAATGATTATTTTCTGAAAGTTTTGTTGTAATCCATCCAGCTGCTCGTGAGATATTTTGCTAAAAGATAAGCAAACACACTCACGAACAAACACAGTATCATCTTGCCTTTGACTGTGAGCTAAAATTATTTTAGCTCTACAGTAATTTACAGCTTTTATAAACACTGACTGCTGTAATTGATACATTTACTTTTACATCAGACAGTTTATTCCACAGGAACTGATTTTATTGTACAAAATTGTTCCAATCTGCTGCTGCTTTGTCCTCATTTATGACTTGAATCATGCATGTCCCAGTTTGAAATGTGAAGGCAGCTAAAGCAGCTACAGCAGCTAAAGCAGCTGTTCCTGTCAGTCTTTAATCCTCAGACCGTCTGTCGGCTTCATGTTGTCTCAAAAAGCTTTAAATATTTTTGTCAAAGTTATGTTACAAAACATATTTACAGCTGGAATTCATGAACTTACATGTTGTAAAAAAAAAAAAAAAAAAAATTAACAAAATACAAAAAATCCTGTCCTGAAGGTCAGGTTGCTTTAAAGATTTTATATTTTTATCAAATGTTTTCTTTCTATAAATCAACATTCTTTCTTCTTGGCTGAGAAGAAAGACCTGATATTGAAAAAATACCTTGCACATACAAGCACATGATGACGTAAAAATTCTGCAGAGGGGGGAGATGACGAGAGCGGTGAGCATGTCCAAGGATGCTCTCGAGAGCACTGTAAGAGTTCTGATAAGGATGGAATAATCAACCAGTTCCTTCAGGTGAGATCCATAAACGTTCTTGAGTGATGTTGGGGAATGGTCAAGGACAACGCCTATGAGAATCCAAGCGTCCTGAAAAGATGACACAATGTTTATTCCGCTGGTTTCATCTGGTTGATCAGGTGGAATTCCTCGATGGGAGGGAGGGAGTGGGGCAGAGCGTCAGATCACATGTTCTCCAGGCAAATTCAGATAAGGTGGCCTGCAAGGCCAGCCTGGGGAGCCAAATTCAGATAAACACACAGTTGTTTTGGGGACAGGCAGAACTGTAATGACGTCTACCCTGAGTCTGTGTCGGTCCACTCGGTTACAAAATGTCCAAATTACATGGCCACACCCATGGAACGTGCCTGAGTAAAATCACTGAGATCTGATCCATTCTGCCAAAAGCATTTGAGTCTGGGTACTCGAGGCACGAACCAAGCCATCATAAAGGCAAGCAGCGTGATCGGGTCCAAATTTGCTGCCAACGACTTCCTTGATTGTTGATAAAACCAACAACCAGCCGAATCAAAAAAGCAGGAACCAGTTATCATAAATTCAATTAAATATGCGTCTTTAAAATCCACAAATGGCAACAGACATAGACACATCATGAAGTCTTCAAAGTCGATGCGATATCCAGCTGTGTGCGTGCCAACATGGCAAATCGGCTCGCCTAAAGCCTGTCTTCTTTTCGAAGAAATGTTGTAAATTGTGTTGAGGGACCAACTGATCAAATCAAGTCCAGAATTATGGTTCGGAAGATTTGTAGAGAGGCTCAGAAGCAGTTTCACAGACAGACAGAGCAGCAAAGCTAAGTGGAGCGGGAGAGGAGGGGAAAAGTATCTGACCTCGGCAAGAGCAAGTGTGAAAACTGTTACCAAGTTTAGAAATATATATAGTTTTCATGTTTCACATGTTCAAGTTGTTGACATTTGCATCTTCAGTAAAGCTATAAATAAGAAGTTTTCAGGTTTTTAAAGAAAATACTGTGTATAGCCTAACCAGGGGACTCTTTTGACCACACAATCTCAGAAACAACTCAAAGGAAATAACTCATTTTGCTACAAATAAAGATATTATGTGTCTAAAT